TTTTTTTTTTTTTTCCTTTTTGGAACGAGAGAGATTTTGGAAAAAAGGCGAATCGCATAACCCACGGGGACTGACTAGTAGTTGTTGGAAATAACATGGACAAACGTACCGGCTGCTGTCGAAGCGTTAGTTACGGCCTTGCCAAGAGGCGTTCGATCGACGATAGCACGGATGTCTATGCTTCTTTCGATCTTGCGCTCGAATCGTTTTCAAGTTTCCCTTGTGACGCACTTGGCCGCGCTTCCACGACAAAGAGACACGAACGTGTTCGCAGGGCGTGCCTCGAGTACAATCGTCACGGGAAAAATTCGTTGGACAACAAAAGTGAGAAACGAGAAAAATGACTTTGTTCCACGTGTAGAAGCACGCGGTGGCTTGACGTGCGTTGTAACATGCCGCGGGACCACAGCGAGAAACATAAGCGAGAAAACTGTTCGAGAAACTGTTTGAGAAGAGATATCGAATGATCAAAGCTTACCTCATCGACGCCTATCTTTCGACACGCCTCGAGAAAATTGTCGACGTTACGCCTGCATCTTGCCATTGTCAACTTGGGCTGCAAATTGTGACACGATCATGTTACGTGTTAAATATACGAGGATCGTCGCTTTTTAGATGGCTTTTAGACACTCACCACAGCTGGTGAAGGAACGTGGATACTGGCGACCGACCGAGGTTTCACGTGGTTTGCCAAGTGACAAAGTACAACTCCGTCTGTCAGCGCCGGGGCAAGGTCTTCCGGTAGAGCCATCTTCAGCCTTGTTTCAATGTGCTAAAAGGAAGCTCAAACGTTAGCCACCTCACTGGTTACAACAGGTGATTACCGAGCGAAAATCGATCCTTTCCGATACTCACGTTTCGAAGCTGCTCGATCAAGTCAGCTTCCTCCTTGGCACGCTCGAATTCTCTTCTCATAGTGAACGAGTACTTTTCTGGCACGTTACTGTTCCACGTAACCGACCGAGGAGACTTTGGACTCCCGCCGTTTCTACTAGGACTCTTGTTACCTAACGGACACAATAGATATTCCATTTGTTTGCACGTGACACGTCAGCCATGTTTTTATTCTTTTTACTCACTGATTATTTTTTCTTTCTTTCTTTTTTTTTTTTTTCTTTACCTTCTACGTAACCAACAGCGGTCTTGACCAGTCTCGGAGTGTGCCCCGGACTAGTGTTGGAAGATAAAATGCTCGATGATGTTTTGATCGGCGAGTTAGGCTTTTTATACGGCTGCTCGAGGTATTTCCCGTTCTTATTGCTGTATTCGTTATTGCTACCATTGATAATCGGCGTGTTTTGATAGTTGATACGCGACGGTGTTACTTTCTGCACCGGTCTCTTCGTCGCGTTCTCCTCGTTGAAGATCTGCTTGCCGGTCATACCGAGTGCGTCTTTATTGCTGGCCGAGTCTGTCTCGTTGTTCTGCGATTCGTTGCCTGGCGGTGTCACCTGCTCACGTGGCCTGTACACGCTGGGTCCCTCGTTGGCTCTTTGTTGTCTCAATGCCTCTTTATACTCTCTAAAAATCAGTCATCGCATGTTACTTGTGATATCTATTAAAACACGTTGCGATACGTGCGTCGACACTTGGGTTTCTACAGTTTTTCTCCACATTCCTCTTAGTTCATCGTTACGATATTAAACCTTGAGCTATTTTCCAACTCTATTATTAACAACAGAAGACGCGTTATTTACGAGAAGACGTGTTGTAAAGAATTGAAGAAATTAAAGAAACGAACGAAAAGATACGATAAAGATGATAAGAGATACGATAACTTTCCAATTCCTTCTTATTGAGAGAACTGGAAATGGAATGTAACGTAGTAACTGTAGAAATTACTTGCATACGAATGATTCTCCTTTCTGAAAATTGCAAGTGTCGATGCAATGTATCGCAGACTATAGGAGTTTTTGCACGAACGCATACCTATAAGTTTGAATGTGATTGAGCGGTCTTTTCTCGTCCCCGTTCATCAAAGAGGTAGCATTCGCGGTCGATGTTTGCAGCGGTTGCACGGACTGCGTGTTCGTTGACACTGGCGTTGTCGTCTGACTCAGATGAGCGGACTCGAGGGGACTGAAAAAGACGCGGGAAGGACACCTGACGCTTATGCTCGTCTGTTAGCGGGTAAAAATCACTAGGCAGTCGTGCAACGCAGTCGAGTGACAGGAACGGCTGCGATGATTGACTTATTAACAGCTCGCTTACCCGGGCGGCGTAATCGACGCGTGGTAGAGGCCAGAGGTCATCGGTCTTCTGACATCGGCGCCATTCTCCGACGTGCTTCTTTCTAGTTTTCTCTTTTCCAACTGATCGTGCAGTATCATAGCCTGTAAACACGGTTTCGTTTAGCGAGGAAGCGAGAAGAGGATAGACTGAAGAGATAGATTAGAGAGAGGAAAGGTGAGCACGCATTCCTAGCGCGTCGCCTTGGATGCCGGTCGCGTTAATCGCTGCCGCGGCGAGTTCTTTCAATGGGTTAAGGTCATTCAACGAGGCTTGAACGACGGCCAAGCGCGACTCGACAACATACAACGATATCATTTTCAAGGGGCGCGCGAGTTCTATTCACTCGCTAAATATAGACGTTGTGTCACACGCGCTTAGACTTGGAGCAAGTCTGAAACACGTTTATTACAGAAGCTTGGCGAAGCCGGGACACAATATGTCAGCGCGGTTCGGACCACTCTGACGAAAGCAACTCGATACCTACCTTGCCGAGCTCATCCTCGAGCGACGTGTGCTCGCCAGGCGAGATGGTACTAGGCGTCGAGGTACCGCTGCAGGATCCGTTCACGCCCGTCTCGTGCGGCAACGTGATCGAAAGTGGCGAGCATTCTTGACGCCACAGTCCTCGAACCTCGCCGTCGTGCACCTGCGCGGAAAAACGTGTCCAGCAGGAGGTACTACGAGAAACTCGTCGAGACGATGTGTGTACGTGTGTTGTTTCTACGTGCGGTTTTTTCGAAAGTTTATTTAAAGTTTGCGTTCTTTCTACATAATCGGATCAGTCAGAGTGTACAAGGAGTGTGCACGCCTCTCACAGGGGAGAGTTCTTTCTACTGGCGGAGGAGATCGAAGCGGTTGTTTACACAGCAGATTCTATGAAGTTTCATAGCCGAAGAGATTGTTACAGAGCCAGCCGAGGAAGAAGAACCGAAGAAACAGGACGAGGGTGAGAAGAAGGACGAAGAAACTAACCGCGCTGTGAATTTCTTGAGACCAGCGTTTGTCGACGCCGTCGCTGGTGCTGTATCCGCTGTCGACGTTGTGCCGCCTGTGAGTCCTCGTGTCCAGAGTCGCGTGACCTCTAACATCCAGGGGTGTCCTCCTCGTACGGCCGCCCCTTGCTCTCTCGTGTTTCGCCGCCTGTCTCTCCAAATATTTGAAGATGTGCGTTCGCCCGCGAATGCATAGCTGCGAACACAAGCGAGAATAGCCGGCTGAGTGATCGATCGGCCGATCGATAACTGAACGGGGCTCGATTTTCGTTTTTATACAGAAGCTCGTGCTCACCGAGGCAGGTGGCGAGGTCAAAGGATTGTCGGACAGCCGAAAGTCAACCAGGCTCTTCATTTTCCTCATCTCGTTCGGAAGCACGGATATTCGGTTGCCGCTGATATCCAGCTTCACGAGTCTCAGGTACGTCAGTTCTGCGCAGAACGTTTCGATTTCACGATCGTCGTATATATTGTGCATCGACTTGCACAAGAGCGTAAAAATAAGTACACGCCGGATCTGGGGAAAATCCATTTTTACGCGCATTCTGTTCAAAAGTCTCAGGACAAGTACTAATATTTTGCCTTAAAAACTGGAAATATCGATTGATGCTTTGCGACATTCGAAAATAGCGTGAGGAACACTTGTAACATTCAAGAATCCCCTGAATTAAAAGACGTATACTGAAGACACGTACGCATATGTGTTAAGAAAAATTTCTTTAACACGTTAAACGCTGCGTTATACACCTAATAGATGATATCTTAATATTAGAAATTAAAATGTTAAGATTGTTGAGAAACAAAAATATAAGACTCTGCGTTCAACGTGGTGGTAAGTAATATGTGTTTCCATACATATTCAAAAGCGTGGTTTCTACTCCCTATCTTCGATGATGGCGCCTAAACAGGTTTAAAGAAGCGCTACCTACCTATAGGCAGGTGCACGATCATGTTGCTCCTCAAGTCCAAGGACCTAAGTCGCGCGAGGTCGCCCATTCGAGGTGGCAGGTTCGTGATTTCGTTGCAGCCTGCGTCGAGCTCGGCTAACGCCGACATCCTGCCCAATTCGTCTGGCAGGGACGCCAATCGGTTGTGAGCGACCAGTAACGTTTGCAGCGGTAGCCTGCATATCTCCCGAGGTAGAGACGTCAATTGATTGCGACTGCGAACAAAAAACCGTCGCCGCTCGTTAATTCCATTGGCTCGTGCCGCGGTGAAGCCATGGTGGCTTCGTGACTTCCTGCTGGCTTACCGACCTAAGATCGAGGTAGTTGAGAGATTGGAGCATCACCACGGTTTCCGGTATTATTCTTATCGCATTGTGGTAAAGGTGCAGCTTCTCGAGGAACAGGAACTCGGTCACTTCTTCCGGTAGTTCGGCAAAACGGTTCTTCGAAAGATCTGCAACAGGAATGAAACAACTCGTGTACATTCGTCTTGAATAAAGATCTTTGTTTCGTCGATTAAATGAATCGTGTTCTAATCCTATGTAATTTTTAGCAGACAGATACATCGTATTGGTACAGATCTCTATTTCATATTTGACCTTCTGTGATTAGAATTTTATTCACTTGCAGAGGAAAAAGATTATTAGCTAATTGTAGTTACTTATTCCAATTTATAATATGAGAACTGTCATTTAATATTTTTATTAGATATATAGATAAAAGATACATGGATATGTAACTTTTAAGTTACATGATGTTTCAAAGGAATAAATATACATATAGATTAAAGTATGTGTGTTGTGTCAATCAAAAGACAAAAGTGAGAATCATTTAATTTCGGAAAGCACAGAACAAAAATAGATCTTATCACACTGTGTTTGTCAAAACATGTTAAACGAATCTGTGTATTAAATATTACATTCATTGCATATCACACGTGTATTAAAAAGTCACCGAATTTTAGTTCGCTAATATACAGATTGTAATACTTTTGGTACGAATCGTAACCAATCTTCAAAAATGATCGATAGCAATCTCTTAAAAAGTGAAAAAATATTTCTTAAAGAAGTTCGATTAATTGAGAGAGATCGTCAGGTCTCCCGGTAGAAACAGCTGTGCTCCGGTTAGGGCGGTGCTCGAGTTCGTTGGGGGTTCTTATGAATGGGGTGCGACGGTCACGTGCGTGTACAGTCTCGAAACGTAGGAGAAGGATAAGGGTGGCTCAGCTGCTGCTCGGCTTCGGGGAGTCCTTTCTGATCAATAACCACTGCCTGGTGTGCTTTCGTTTCCTCCGGGAGTTGGTTAGCTAGCGGTCCGACTCGTCCTTTTCCTTCGCGCCAGCTTTTCAAACCCTCCCCCTTCCACCTTTCACTATCGATCGGACGCGTTACTA